GGAAGGCTGAGGCGGAAGGATCGCCGGAGCCCAGCAGGTCAAGGCTGCGGTGGCCGGGAGCAGCCACTGCACTCCAGTCTGGGCAACAGAGTGAGACTCCAACTCAAAAAAAAAGAAAAGATAAACTAAAAAAATAACACTCCATTACACTACACACATCCACAGGATTATTTCTGGAACAACACCCAAGAAACTGATAGGAATGCCTCTGAGAAAGGGAATTAAAGATTTAGAATGATATGGAGATTTATTTTAACTACACCTTTTGTATTCCCCCCCACAAAACATCAAGGGCATACAGTCTTTGGTTCTTTTTTTTTTTCCCTGGGGGATGGCAATATACTCTTGAAAGATTGTTTTTCTTAAAGAAACAAAGCATGGATTTCCTAACAGAATGTCAATATTACCAACTTTTGTAATATAAGCGTGTAGACACACTGCACAGAAGGCAGGTAGTAAATGAAGTAGAGACAAGTGTAGGGATGCTGATAAGTTAATAACCTCATTTTGAAAAAATAGACACCAACCATTCTCAGCTCTACCCTGGATCAACAGTTACATTAGATAACAGGAAGGATACTCCACAAAACAGAATCCACATGCTGTTTTCTTCACTTTATCCAAACCCATAATGATTTTCTTTATGTCACCACTCTTGCTGAAGAGTTCATAGATTTGCTCTTCAGTTGTGTAAAAGGAAAGATTTCCAACATACAATGTACAGCTTTTCTTCAGTAATTTTTCTTGTTCTTCATTGTCTCCCTAGAATTTTAAAGAGACAAAGTTAAGCAATACAAGTTAAGAATACGTGCTTCAGTCTAAGCAACTTGGCAGACCTCATCTCTACAATTAAAAAAAAAAAAATTAGCCGAGCTAATTAGTGGTGGTGCACACCTTTGGTTCCAGCTACTTGGAAAGCTGAGGCAGAAGGATCACCTGAGCCCAGCAGGTCGACACTGTGGTGGCTGTGAGCATGCCACTGCACTCCAGCCTGGGCAACAGAGTGAGACGCCAACTCAAAAAAAAAAAAAAAAAAAAAGAGCCAATGAGCCAATGTTTAAATAATATTCCTAGGTATGGTAAAAGCATTCTTTAATTCTAGTTGGGAAATCAAACTCTCTCATCATCCCAATCCACCATAAATCCCTTGCCAGAAAAATGGGGGGATGTTCACATCCTATGAAGCACTAATGCAAGGTCTGGACTGCTTTTAGTGGGGGGTAAGGCCAAAAAATTATATAGCATGCAACAGAACTCCTGCACCAGACTACTACACAAGTGGCACACCTTTTCCCTGCACACGCCATGTCCTCAATCCTCAGCAGTGGATCCGTCTCTAAGTATGGCCCAAATTTATAAATTCTGGACATTAATCCAATATATTAGAAAGGGCCCTTTTACTCCCTGTAGTGAAAAATAAATGGATTTTCAGAGACAGTTCCCCTTGTAATATTCCCATAGAGACTACTAAAAACAGCAACTGCTTAGATGATTTACATGCTCATATATTTGTCTTTGGATTTAGGAGAAAATGTGATCATGAAAAACAAGAGAAATCTGATTTTCCTGACAAATCCCTGGGGATGAAATGGCTTATCATGGGCTAGACATGGTATTTTAGATGCCTTCATAGCAACCAGGGTGGTCTCTGGACTTTCTAGCCTCCATATTAGGGAGGACAAATGTGATTACTTAGAAGGCATTTCCGCTTACCTGTTCCCAGTCCCTTCGGACTGAGCCTAGGGCTCTGACATTAACTATCCAGTGGGTATTTTGGCTTGGAGAGTAGCTGAGTAGATCCACACTCAGCCCTCGATATGCGCCCCTCATTTCCCAATCACGAGGGAACTTTTTTCCCTTTTCTGAATCTTCACAGTACTTCCCTTTCTACTTACTTCTGCTTTAGATTTTGATTACTTGCCCCCATCTGCAATGCCTACTACAGGATTATGATATCTTAGGGTGTAGAACTGTCCTCTCTCCCACTAGGACTTAGCAGAAGGCTCCAGCAACAGCACTCAAACGTTTACTAAATAACTGGGTGAGTGCCGCTCCACCCTATCCCATCCCCGACTTCGCAGATGCTGAGAAGCCCACCGTGAGTAGCTGCAGCCCTCCTCTTTTCTACAAAATATATTGTGACACGGTCTAAACTAAAATTTCCCTCTTCTGAAGACCAGCATTTCTCTGATCTTGGCATGTTGACACCCTCAACGTGTCTAACTTTGTGTCTCCCGCCCACCACGTAGAACTTCCGTAGGGCCATCCTCCTAGAGAAGATAAAGACCCTAATCGTCGGAGAACATAGTTTGGGGGGCAAATGCCATCGTATTAGGGTCAGAAAGACGCGTCCAAATACTTGGGGAATGAAAAGGACACCCTTTCCCCTATCATGCAGTCACTTTCCCAAAGCACAGCACATGAAAGCTGGAGCCACCACTACTACCGCCGATCACACCTCTGCACTGGCTCAGGAACAGAAGCGGCTGCAAGAGAACCGGAAAGCTAGCTTCAGGTTCCCTTTCTTCGAGAGAGAGTGGCTTCGGTGATATCCAACCACCCTTCCAGCATCCATTCCCGTCCTCTCCAGCAGGCCCCGGGGCCCCATCTGGCGTCTAGAGACACCAGCAGAATGGGAGACAACACAATGAGACTAGAGCAAGCCGTTTCTCGGCGTTCTGGCCCAGGGCCTTCCCACCCCCTCGCGGCCCGGCCTCCCTCACCCGGAAGTGCTGGTCCCGGTACTGGCTCAGCTCCACGTAGGAGTCGCTGCGCAGCGCCTTCAGGAGGCCACCCGACATAGTACACACAACTGAACGAGGACGCGGCGACTCCAGCAACACTAGGAAGCGGCGGCGGCGGTGGCGGCGGCGGCGGAAGCGGAAACGCCCGGCGGCTGCGGGCCGGTCGGAGCCAATCCAAGGGGGGCGGTGTCGTCATCAGGAGGCGCCAGCGCCGACGAGGTCCGCGCCGGGCGCGGCGGGTCGGAAGGGCAGGGTGGCGCGCTCTCGGTTCTGGGGTCTCCGGAGAGGATGGTTCTCCGGAGGCTGCTGGCCGCCCTGCTGCACAGCCCCCAGCTGGTGGAGCGTCTGTCGGAGTCGCGGCCCATCCGACGCGCGGCGCAACTCACGGCCTTCGCACTGCTGCAGGCCCAGCTGCGCGGCCAGGACGCGGCCCGCCGCCTGCGGGACCTTGCGGCCGGGCCCGCGGGCTCCCTGGGCCGCCGCGTTGAGCGATTCAGAGACGCCTTCACCCAGGAGCTACGCCGCGGCCTTCGGGACCGCCCAGAGCCACCACCAGGTAGCCAGAGGGGCCCGGGTGCAAACACTTAAGCCGAGGTCACTGACTTTTCTTTCTGGACTCTACACCGGCCTCGGCATTAAGAGGTCATCCCGGACACAACGCACGGCTTCGGCTTATTGGTCTGAAGACGTGCCACCCGGAAGAGTCTAGGCCAGATCGATATCCCCCCCTGGAAGTCCTGTGATTGGACCGCGTTTGGTGTGAAGAAAGACCCCGAAACCTGGCAGATAAAACTAGGCTCGGCCGGCACACCGCGCGTACAGAGAGCCACGGACCGAACCCCAGCCAGTGGGAGAGCCTTCTTCTGCAGTTGGGACTGGAACTCTCGATAGATTCTGCTGCATCTGCATTAGTATAGCAGGACACACAATTTCAGGGAAGATCATGAATGGGAAGACAACCCTGCAGCTGCCAAAATCTTCTGATTAAATGTATGAGCTGATTAATAGGCATAAGTGTTGATACTTCTCAGACAACATGGATTAGGAATACTGGGGGTTGTAGGCCCATGGGAATAATAATAGTTAATGCATGTTGAGTGTTCTGTACTGGCACTTGGTACTTGCACTCTCTTTGGGTTATCTCACTTACGACCACATTCATGTTCATGTGAGGAAGTGGAGGCTCCTTCTTAAATTGCCCAAAGCCGTACAGATTGGGATTTGACTTCAGGGCCTGAGTCCTTAATCACAACTGTGCATTTGTCCTGACTCTCAGCGCCTGCCTTCCCCTACAGTCACCACCAGGCATATTACTGCCTACCTTGGAACAAGCTACCTGGGTTTCTCTTCCACATTTTAGAGATACAAACTAAGACTATGGTTCAGCTAGTGGACCCGTGAATAGTAAATCCATTGTATTTAGAAATGTTCTGTCATTTGAGGCTCCTAGCTAAATTTCTGGTCATTTTTAATTAGGCAACACAATTAGTCATGCAATCTAGGAGCTTGAAGCCATAGGAAAATCTTAGGCTGGTAACCAGATACCAACTGAACATTGCATGTTCTCTGCTCCCACTGGGGCAGGACGAGAGAGTCTAGGACCCACAGCATTACTGAGGAGGGAGAGAACATCTGGACTCCCTAATCTGATTCTTAAGAGCAAGGTACAGAAATGATGGAAGAATTTACCACCACCTCTCAGGAATAGGAATAGAAAAGAGTGGGGAGAAAATCTCCAGAATGACTTGCTTATGTAATAACCAAACACTGAGACAGCAGGCACCAAAGTGCCATTAAGTACAACACCATTCCCACTTTCATGTTTAAAGGGCTTTGTGAGCCGTGTGCCTGTCTAGCCATGGAACATATGCTGTGGACAGTGTTAGCTGGCAGACACCTCAGAGATCCTTTGATCTCAACAATTGGGAAATGGGCTGGGTGAGCGGAAGGGCCTTTCACAAGATCACACAGTGAGGGGCATACCAGGGACTAGAACTTGGGTCCTTTTAATCTGAACCACTGCTCTACCTCACCACATTACTTTCCAGGTATCTAGGAGGCCAGATTGGCCTTAGGAAGCCACAGGGTTGTTATGACAGCAAGAAGTAAGGCATCATGGAAAGTTCAGAAGAAATCATTCAGGAATGTCATTTAGCCAACGATTGTCTTTTTTCACAACCAGGTGCTATTATATATTTAAAACATCACAGTGTCACAGCGGCTGGAAGGAATTAAGCAGGAACAGACTTTGGGTGCCTTGGTTACACCAAGATCCTTTGGGGACCTTGGCATCATGACTGTGACAAGTCAGATCTTTGGTCTGAGGGAAAGGAGGGCCAGCTCACCCAGAAGGCAGAACAGCTAGTGGTTGTGTCCAGGTGCAGCAGTGAGAATCCTGAGGGAGGAGCAGGGCCCTGTTCAGCATCCCAGCCCAGCCACCCAAGTAGAAGGTGGAGTGACACCTTTTGTGGCTGAGTCTTGGGCAGTGGTGCTCTCTTGTCAGATTTCTCCACCCAGCTCCATGATGTGAAGGCTAAGGAGGTCCTTCCAAGCCCCACTTAGCAGGGAGGACAGGGCTGGCGGGTCCTCCAGGGTCAAATGAGGAAACATAAGGGTCTCGTTCTTGAGGAGGAAGCTGCACTTCTCCACAGCATGTCTGGTGGTGCCAGGGGTCACCACAAAGAGGCGGCAGAGCCATGGTCCACCGGCCTCTTGGCAGGCTGGTCGCCTGGTGACGCTCTTCAGGGCTTGGCATAAGACCCGGTCCTCGGTTCCACCCATGTCCACAACCTCTACAGGTGACCTCAGGCCTGGGAGGTGTAGGAGGTGCCGGGGGGGCATGTAGGTGTGGGTGAAGAGGAGTGTGTAGTGGGTGGGCATGCTTGGGAGCACAGGTGCGTGGACCACCTGTTCTAGGTACCCTAGGCCAGGCACTAGCCCCCCCTGATGCAGGCAGCCGAAGAAGAAGGCACCGAGGGCATTGAAGAAGACCAGGGTGCCCTTCCAAGGCATGGGTTGGGTCTGCGGACTACAAAGCAGGACTAGGGGGACCAGGAGGGGGATGAGGAACCGAGCCTCCTGGTGGCTAACAGCAGACAGCAAGGCCAGGGGCATGAAGTAGAGGAGAAGGAGGTAAGACCTGGGGCTGGCCAGCAGGCTCTGAGCACCCAGCACCCTCAGGGGGCCCATTTGTACAAAGGCCCGGAGGCACACTTGCAGCTGTTGCCAGGCAACCTGCAGAGCCTGAGCATGCAGCACACCAAAAAGCAGGAAGCCATTGACTGCCAGGTGAGTGAGTCGCACGTGTGTGCCATGCCTTGCCAAGTTTTGGGGGTCCAGGTTGTAGTGCAAGAAGTTGACAGGAGTAAGGACAAGGGTACTGGATTTAGAGGGGCTGGAGAAATACCAGCTGTCCATGACCACAAACACCGCTGCTGTGAGGGCCGCCCCTGGAAACAGCACCAGGGCTTCCCAGGTCAGGGACTTGAAGCCAGGGTTGGTAGCTCCACGGGTGCCCCACAGATAGAGGGGTACCAGAGCAAAGGCCAGAAAGGTGGGCCGGTTGAAGAAGCCAGCGGCCACAATGCCCCCAAGAAGCCAACCGTGCCACCATGGGCCTGGAGCAGGCTTCTTGGGTTTGGGGCTCCATGTCATGTAGGGGGATACCAGCACTAGCAGCCACGCGAACAGCAGTCCCTCGATGGCGTTGGAGAAGGTCCTTGTGTAGAAGACCAGGGTGACATAGGAACCAGACAGCAAGACCAGGGCATTCCAGCGGTCCGCCCCCCACAGTGGAGCCAGATGGTACACAGCCCTGTCCAGGGCAAAGGAGAGGGCAGTGAGAAGGAGTCGGGGCCCCACCAGCAGCACATAGCCGCTCACTAGGCCAGGCCCCAGGCCCCACTCTTCCCAGAGCCTGAGCAGCCAGAAGGTAGAGCCAGAGGTCAGCAGTGGGAAGACCACCGTGCGGCAAGAACTGCTGGGGTAAAACTCCCAGGGCCGTGTGGCCTGCACACCCAGGATGTCCTCTGCAGAGAGAGAGGCAGAAGTGAGAGTGAGTTCCAAGAGCTCAGGAAGGTGGATGGTGCCCAAGATTTCCCACCCCTTGGAGTGCATGCCCTGCATCACCCCTGGGATTGCACAAGATGGATTTTATTCCTGTGATTAGGTTATGCTACCTGGGAATGCTGACTTAAATAGGGAGATTGTCGGGTGGGCCTGACCTAATCACACCAACTCTTTAAAAGCAGAGAATTGGCCAGGCAAGGTAGCTCACACCCATAATCCTAGCACTTGGGAAGGCTGAGGTGAGAGGATTGCCTGAGCCCATGAGTTCAAGACCAACCTGGGCATCTTGGCAAGACCTCATCTCTACAATAAATTTCTAAAAAATTAGGCCAGGCTTGGTGGCTCAGCCTGTAATCCCAGCACTTTGGAAGGCTGAGGATGGTGGATTGCCTGAGCCCACGGGTTAGAGACCAGCCCCAGCAACTTGCTGAGACCTCACCTCTACAATAAAATAAAAAATAGCCAGGAGTGGTAGTGCACGTCTGTATTTCTGGCTACTTGGAAGGCTGGCGGAAGGATTGCCAGAGCCCAGCAGGCTGACGCTGGGGTGACCATGAGCGTGGGTGCCACTGCACTCCAACCTGGGTAAAGGAGTGAAACTCCAACTCAAAAAAAAAAAAAAAATTTAACTGGGTGTGGTGGCACATGCCTGTGGTGAAAGGATCACCTCAGCCAGCAGCCCAGCAAGTTGAGGCTGCAGTGGCCGTGAGCATGCCACTGCACTCCAGCCTAGGCAACAGAGTGAGACTCCAACTCAAAAAATTAAATAAATAAATAAAAGCAGAGAGTCTTTGCCCACTGGTTGTAGAATGGGCAGTCAGATTCCAAGCAGGAGGATTGGATGTCCCATTGCTGGCTTAAAGATAGAAGGAGCCATTGGCTAGAAATGGAGGTGGCATCTAGAAGCTGAGAGCAAGGACACAGGACAGTAGTCCCAGTGCTGAGAGGAACTAAATCTGCTAGAATAGAGAGATTTCTGACAAGAACTCAGCCCAGCCCAGCCCCTGATTTCAGCCTTGTGATACCCGGAGCAGAGAGCCCATGCCAACCTTCTGACCTACAGACCTGGGAGCTCACCGTAGGTACAGCTTTAAGTTGCTAGGTGTGTGATGATTTGTCATGCAGCAATGGGCACAAATGGAAGGAAGCTCAAGGTGGGTGAGGCCCCACTCCGAAGGGGGTGAGGTGACAGTGTATCCTGGTGTGTGGGAGGAGCAGGGGGAGGCTTTATTCCTCTTCTCAGAGTTCTAAGATCTCAAAAGTCAGCTCAGAAACCCATCTCTGTAATAATGATTGTTACCTAGGTGAGGGGGATTTGAGAATGGAGGTGTGGGATCAGAGCCGGCAGGGTTATGGTCACAGGTGTCTTTGTTTTTTGTTTTGTTTTGTTTTTGAGTCCCTGTCTCATTCTGTCGCCCAGGGTGGAGTGCAGGAATTAGAGGGCCGTTTATGATACTTAAATGTTGTATAAGAAGAATGTATTGGCCATTGCCTTGCTAGACTCTGGTGTGACCATGTGCTCTTTGAGCTATGGCCATGCTTCCTGGCTTTGGCCCCCTCCCCCACCTTGGGGAGGTGAATCTTCTCTCTCCCTTCTATTTCTTCTTTAATTTACTTTCAAATAAACTATATTTTTTAATCTTAAAAAGAAAAAGAATGTATTCATGTAGTACCTATATAATGAAAAAATAAAAAGAGCCAGAGCGATAGCTCATGTAATCCCAACCCTTTGGGTGACTGAGACATGATTGCCTGAGCCCACAGGTTTGAGACCATCCTGGGCAACTTGGTGAACCCTTGTCTCTACAATAAATAATAAAAATTAGCCAGGCATGGTGGCATGTGCCTATAGTTCTAGCTACCTAGAAGGCTGAGACAGAAGGATTGCCTGAGCCCAGCAAGTCGAGACTGGTATCCATGAGCATGCACTCCAGTCTGAGCGACAGAGTGAGACTCTGACTCAAAAAGCAAAAACAAAACAAAAACCAACAACCACTTTCTGCCTGTGCCCCAAGTCCCAAAGCTCTGAGAGGAAAGGAACAGTTCCACTCCAAGCCCCATTGTCCATGCTTGATTGCCTTGCTGTTTTAGACCTGATTATGCTGTCCAGGGATCATTTGGGCTCTTTGGTTGACAATTTTATCTATCTACATCAGACAGTGAAAGGGAAACAAGATCAATTTGTCTACTTTTCACTGACTCAGGTTAAAAAAAAAAAAAGGCTGGTCAAGGTGGCTCATGCCTATAATTCCAGCACTTTGGGAAGCGGAGGCAAGAGGATTACCTGATTCCAGAGGTTCGAGAACAACCTGGGCAACTTGAGGAGACCTCGTCTCCACAATAAATCAAAAAATTAGCCAGGTGTGGTGGCACACACCTGTAGTTCCAGCTACTTGGGAGGCTGAGGCAGAAGGATTGCCTGAACCCAGCAGGTTGAGGCTGCAGTGACTGTGAGCATGCCTCTGCACTCCAGCCTGGTCGACAGAGTGGAGCTCCGACACAAAAGACTAAACCTTTCAACTTAAAGAAATTCACTGGCCAGGGCAGTGGCTCATATCTATAATCCCAGCACTTTGGGAGGCCAAGGTGAGAGGATTGCCTGAGCCCATGGGTTCAAAACCAGCCTGGGCAACTTGATGAGACCTCATCTCTACAGTAAATCAAAAGTCAGTCAGGCATAGTGGTGTTTGCTTGTAGTTCCAGCTACTTGAAAGGCTGAGGTGGAAGGATCGCCTGAGCCCTGCAGGTAGAGGCTGCAGTGACCAGGAGCGTGCCACTGCACTCCAGCCTGGGTGACAGAGTGAGACTCCAACTCAGACAAACAAACAAACAAAAGAAATTCACCATTTGAGCCCTGTGGCAAAAATAGCTGGATGTCTTCCTCCTTCTTCCTTAGTCACTTTAGCTGGGCACTTGATCAGACAGAAAGACTATGTATCTTCATTTGCAGCTAGACATGGTCACATGATACATTCTGACTGGTGGGATGTAAATGGGCAAAAAGTACAAGGGAGGACCCCAAAAAACCTTGGAATTATCTTTTAGAGAGCGGGCCCTTTATAGTACAGGCTATCCCCACTAGATGAGTGTTCGAGGAACACATCGTCATCAGTGTACCAGCTAGCAGTGTTGTGTTGTGAGAGGCTGCGTTCAGCTTCAGTGACTTTTTTTTTTTGGAGATTCTTTCAATGTGTTTGCCCACTTCATGATGTGTGATTTATGAGCGTACCTGCCCACACCATGCTGAGTGTTCAGCAGTTCTGGACCCCAAACAGCATGACCCCGGTGCCCCACCCTTCCTATTCCCTTTTCTTGCCCCAAGCGACTTTGAAAAAAGTCCTCAAAGGGAATCGTTTTGCCAGTGTAGAAGAGGTGAAACATCAAAACTTACGAGTTCAAAAATGGTTTTGACCGGTGGAAATGGTGTTTCAATAGGTGCATTGCATCAAATGGAGAGTACTTTGAAGGTGACTGAAGTGTAAACATGTAAGAATAAATACACAATTTTTAAGAAGTAAATTCCAGGTTTTGGGGGTCCCCTTCAACACTTGCAAATGACACATTTGAAAAGACATAACATAGTATACCCAGTGAGCAACCATTTTAACATTGCTCAACTTTGTCATGTTTTTCTAGCAGTTCACTTCAACTTGCCCTCTAATTGTTACTCAGGGACAGAACCAGTTTCTCAGAGGTAGCCATTGGTTTTTTTTTTGTTTTTGAGTTGGAGTCTCACTCTGTCACCCAGACTGGAGTGCAGTGGC